TTCCTAGCTGGGTCGGTGCTGAAGGTTCTTGGACGATCTAAGGATCCACTAACCCTACGACCTGCTTGTCGATCTTCTGCGCAGGGCATGCAAAGGGGGGTCCTCTGGGTGCAGACACCCCCGGATCTGAGAGACTGGCCTTTGCGAGGCAGTGATCCAGTCCGCTCCATGCGGGGATAGGGGACTCAGGGGCCCCCAGTCTAGGGATCCGGGCTCCCTCCTTACGCTGCCCTGCCGGGTCAGCTGGGTGGGCTGGGTCACCGGGTTCGGGGTCCTCACCTCGGTGGGGGCGATCCCGAAGGCCTCGGCGATCTTGGCGTAGAGCTCGCGAACGTTAGTGAAACCCTCGATCTTGCCCGTGGGGCTACCGTGTGCTAGCTGCGTGCGGAATACGAGGCGCGGACGGACTCGGGGCGCGGGCGGGGCGGGGGGCTCAGCCCGGGTCTCCGTGGGCGAGGGAAGGGGTGCGGGTTGGCGCGGGTCCTCGGCCCCCCGGGCCTCGCGGGCCCCTGCGCTCTCCATGCCCGGAGAAGCTCCGCCGCCGGACCACCGCCGCCACCGGATCTACCGCTTCCTGCAGCTTCCCCTCCCCCGGCCTAGGACCCGACAGCCGAGCCGCGGGGGGTAAGGGGATCCGGGAACCCGAGCAGCCCTGGAAGGCGACACCACGGGCACGTGGGGGGGGGCGGGCCCCAGGTGTCAGCGCCCTGCCAGGCCCAGCTGCGCGCTCCCTGGGGACACCTGGCGACACAAGGGGGCCTGAACTGCGGACCCAGGAATAACAAGGGTCACTAACAAGAAGGCGGACAGCTGAGCGTATCTGAGCCGGCCCTCTCTGCTCGGCTCCATGTTGGCAACAGGGCCCTCCCGGTGGCCCAGGGCTGCGTGCAGTACTATGAAGCTGTCACTAGCCAGAGCAGCGCGAGTTCCATCCCAGCCAGGGGGTGACCTACGGGGCGCACAGACCTCTCCTGCCTCCCCGCTGCTCCCCTCAGCAATGTACTTTGTCTTTCTGCCTGTCCTGCGCCCCACTCTGTCTCTGGTGCTTCCTCTCACTGCCCCTGCCCCTCTGGCCTGTACCCCACTTCTGCAGGCATAAAGAAATCAATCTTTTTAAAAAAATTCTTTGTGGCCCTCCCTGGTGGCGCAGCGGGTTAAAGCCCAGCACTGAGAATCTAAAGCCGCTTCAGCATGAGTTCGATTCCCGCTTGCCCCGGAGGTGACCACATGGCGCGGCAGACCTCTCCTGACCCGCCCGCTGCTCCCCTCAGGAGTGTACTTCGTCGATCTGCCTGTTCTGCTCCCCACTCTGTCTCTGGTGAATCCTCTCACCCTCCGCATCTCTGGCCTGTACCCCAGTTCTGTATGAATAAATAAATAAATCTTTAAAAAAAAATTCTTTGTTACACTTGGAGGTGGGAAGCAGGACCATCCTGGTATAGCTTGAGCCTCGTCCAGCCCTCACTCAGTGTCCAGCCCCCAGTCAGCCCACAGCCCCCCAGGCCTCCCACCTCTCTTGGGGAAAGAGGGTCCCACAGCTCCCCAGCCCGCCCAGGGCCTCTCCAAGGGCTGGTCCCTCCACCTCTGGCTCCTTCTCCCAGATTCCCATGTTACCCGAGCGGCTACTGGCTACTGTGTGGTAGCTGCGTGGGAATAGGGGTGCTGAGGAACTCAGGGTGCGGCCCTCTCCTCAGCTCCTAGAGTCCTTGCTCAAATGCCGCACGCTCTCACCACCTCCCATTCTCTCCTCCCAGCCTCTTCTCTCCAGCACTTAGTACCATCTCATGTAGGTATTTGACTTATTTGTGTTCCTATTGGTCTTCCCTCTGAAATGCCAGCCCCCCCCGCTGCGCCCCAGGTTCCTCACGCAGCTAGCACATAGTAACCACAGGGCAACAGTGTGGCCTCTGTTCCCTGCTGTGTCCCCTGGCCTGCCCAGCGCCTGGCCCACACAGCACTTGTTCACAGCTTTGGGGAAAGAATGAACGCAGGCCAAAGACATAAACGACAGAAGGTTCTGGAGACAGGAGGTGGTGATAGGCGTCCCCCAGGGACACAGCACCAGCAGGAATGAATCTAGGTTCACAGTGAACATCAGTGAGGAGCTGCTGAAGACCAGCCTCAGCTGAGGTAGTGAGGGCTTCGGCAGGAAAGGACAGCCAGCGGGAGAAGGTGAGAGAGAGAAAAGGAGAGAAGGGGAGGAGGACAAGGGGGCGAGGCAGGAAAGTGAGGAGACACCTCATTTCTGTTCAGGGTGAAAGCTCTTCTGCTGACAGTCCCGGCAGGCCTTTATACGCCACAAGCAAGTGGCGGGATCGCAGCAGTGTGTGAGAAAGCAGATTACAGTCATCACATTTTTCTTAAAGACAGCTCAGGACTTTCTGATCTCTCACTGAGACTGTGATAGTCATGCACAAAATGTTCTTGTCATGACCAGTCATTAATAAACAAATATTCCTATGGTGATGAGTCATCAAACAAAATATTCCTGTAGTGATCAGTTATCAATAAACAAAAGGTTTCTACGGCGATCAGTCAGCTATTACAACTTAAGTAATCATTTTGTTAGTTCCTCAATGAACACACACCTTCAAGGTGCAGGACCTAATGCTAAGGAACTCGGAGTCAGAAAACACCAACGCCGAGTGCACTGACATTTCCCTGCTCTAAGGAAAAAACCCTTTTTTGATCTACAAAAGGAGCTTCTACGAATCACTATTTCTGCAATTGTTCTGTCAACCTCGTCTCTATATCTAACATAAGGATGAGGGGAAAATGTCTTTATATGGTCACTGATTATTATCCTTTCAATCTTATCTAAAAAAACTATGTGAAAAGAGGTTGAGGTGAAAGTTAAAGGAAAGAGTAGGAAAAATTATTATTATTTATAACTCTATTACTTAAAATGAAACTTTAGTTTCATTATATAGAAACTATATAGTTACTATATACTTCACTATATAGAAACTATATAGTTACTTAAAACTATAGATCTTTTATTGGGGACCGGGCAGGAAATTATTGCAGGCTTTGGTTCCCAGAATTCTTAGACCGTGACCTGTCTCTCATTGTTGCGGGACGTAGATTTGTGCCAGCCCTCTCAAGCAGAAGAATATTAATTATTTTATAATGTACTGTGCCGTCGTGTACAATGCTATTGTTATTAAACCAATCAATCCAATCAAGTAATTATAGATTTTATATTGAGTGTATATTTGGACAATTGTTATGCTTCTTGGGAACAGCCCCAAACAAACATACTTCTTGGGAAACAGCCATAAACAAAACAAAAAGAATCCAGCAGAAACCAGCTGTGGAATATCCTGACTTTTCAGGACTTCCCCCTACCCCACCCACATCAGGACCTTGTCATACAACATGGGTAGCGTGACTCTCACCAACTAGCCAGACAGCAAAACCAAGGGACTCCCACCTGGGAAGAATCTCAGACACCAAACCCTGACGGGAAAAGGTGAGTGCAGATGTTTGGGCGCTCTAAGGAAGTGGATGTAGAGTTTAACAACCTGCAAGTGTGCATGGACCTTGAGAGCCACTGTGAGAGGCCGGGAGTAGGGGGTGTGGTGCTCAGACGTGGCGGGTCCAGAACTCGAGTAAACCCCTGGGATCAGGGGCTGGGGGTGATTGCTATTGTGGGTGGGAGTCAGGGAAGCTTCTGGAGTTAGAGGAAGCTGAGTAACCTGATTAGAAGTGGTCTATCTTTGTGAGTTAATGCTAGAAACCAAGGAACTGTACACTTTAGAGATTTATTTTTATTTCTTTATGCATACAAGAACTGGGGTGGGGGGGGTGTGAGAGGACTCACCGGAAGAGTGGGGAGCAGAACAGGCAGGTCCACTGAAGGATATTGCTGAGGGGAGCCTCGGGCGAGACAGGAGAGGTCTGCCGCGCCATGTGGACCAGCTGCCTGGCCGGGGATCGAACTCAGGCTGTAGCAGGGACAGCCTAAGACTCAACCCCTGTGCCATAAGGGAAGCCCCCAAATTTTCACTTTTCTAGGAAGACACATGCATGTGGTAAAAATAAGTAAAGACCGGCCAGGAAGGCTGACAAAATGCCACAGCTGGAAGGGCTTTGAAAAACAGGGATGCATTTCCTGCCATCATGCAGAAATCCGTAGTCAGTTCATCAGCAGGACTGCTCCCTCTGACATCCCGGCTAGGGGCCTCCGTGCCTGTCCCCAGCATGGCTGTCACCTCTTGGTTTCCCTGGCAACTCACATCCTTCCAGTCTTCTGTCCAAACCACTGTCTTATAAGGACACCGGTCATACTGGACTAGGGGCCCACCCTACTTCAGGATGACCTCATCTTAACTAATTATATCTTCAATGACCCTACTTCCAAATAAGGTCACACTCTGAGGTTCTGGAGGTTAGGCCTTCCACAGATCTTGTGAGGGCATTATTCAACCTCCAACACTGGTGTTTTTGTCAAATTATTCTCCAACATTTTTAGGATGTCTCAGTAGTCTACTACCCACAGACATCTCTGAGGGGCCTCCTTGTAAGTTAAGCATAGAATGATCCTGAAGTTACGCTCCTGGAATATACCCAAGAACTGAATGTCAATGTTCAAACGAAAACCTGCACACGCAGGGTTTCACAGCAGATCTGGCGGAAGCGGGTATTGCTCATCAGCAGATAAACGTACCCACGCAAATGAGGGGCCCACCCACACACCAGAACATGCTTCAGTCACAAAAAGGGGGGCAGCTCTGACACACTACCAAGGGGAGGGACCCTGAGCCCACGACACTTGGAGAGAAGCCAGACACACGAGGCCACACAGTGAGAAACGTCAGAACAGGTAGATCGACAGATGGAAGATGGGTGTGTGACTGCCAGGGCCCTGGGAAGACAGGCCTAGGGCCCCAACAATGGATGATGTGGGGGGCCTGAGCACATCCTCTGCTGGAACCCTCCTGCCCCAAAGCACCCCAAACATTCAAGCTTAACATTCAAGTTTCATTTTTTTTTTTTAATTTAAAAAGTCCAGATTGAACAGTGGTTAAAGCGCCACCTTCAGCAGGGACCCTCGGCTGGACAAGGGTGGGATGGCCAGTACCAGTCAGTCCCTCCATTCTGCACTGCAGAAGGGTGCAGGCAGGCAGGCAAAGGCCCACCCCATGTGGGAGCACTTCACCGCAGCATGCCTGTTTGTGGGTGCACGTGAGCACCTGCGGGGAGTCCCAGGGATCTGGCCAGTGCTGGGGAACTAGTGTGGGTGTGCAAGCCGCCACGCCTGCCAGGGATGTGCAAGCTGCTGCGGGTCCCTTGTCTTGGACTAGGCTGCCTCTGTGTGACATCCCCACGCCCCTGTAGTGTATGATAAGCCTCGTGAGGTGAGTGGCCCTTGCTGGGTCCCCGGCCATGGGGTCCAATGGGTGTTGTGCATGGTGGTGATTTTTCTGGGTTTGGGGACTAGAGGTCGAAAGCTAGAAAGTTGTAGAAATTTAATTTTAGGGGAGCTGGGGCCCCCAAGGTGCAGGATCAGGCCTGGCCCCAAGATGAACCCCCAGCCCTTCTTCGTGGGCAGGGGTAGGGAAGGGGCCATGACCAGAGCGTGGTCTCCTCAGGATCTGCAGGCCGGCCAACACCCTCATAGATGCTCACTGCGAGAGGAGAGAGGAGGTTTGTGAGGGAGGATCCATCACCTCTCAGCACCCACCCAGATTCTGGGGGGCCCTAAAGGCAACCCCCTCAGTTCCTCCAAATGGATCCTGGGTGGGGAGTCTGGAATTGATGGCACCTAATCTGGGTGTCTGAGATCCATCCAGAAAAACCCATGAAGCTTTAGAGAAATTCTGGCTCCCCCAAATGGCTTCCACTAGCCAAGAGGGACAGGCAGATGCCACCCAGCATCGTCAATCTAGTTAATATAGTACGCGGCTTGACCACAGCGCCCCCCTGTGGTCAGGCCATCAGCTGCCCATCGAATAACCCCCCACAGGCAGATCCCCTGGGGGCCAGGGCCTCCCGTGATATCCTGGCAGCCCGCCCACCAAGCAGGGCCCACAGACTCCTGGCCCACCCGAGAGCAAAATCCAATACTTTGCGCCACGCCAAGGCGGTCAGGCAGGTCTAGCCTGGGGTCGAACCCACGCAGGGCATCCCCGCTGGGCTGGGCTACCAGGGCAGATCTGCCCTGCACACACCTGGCGACCTGGGCCAGGATCTCCTTGATGCGGACGATGAGCTTCTCATGCTGGGCGGGGTCGCGCTCGATGGCGCCGTGCAGCCGGGCCATGTAGAAGTCCAGGGTGCTGAGCGTGGGCGTCTCGCCAGTGCCTGGGAAGGGCGGGACCCGTCAGTCGAGCCTAGCAGGGAGCGCCCAGAATCTGGGCGCCGCCGGATAGAGGTCAGAGGGCAGGGGTCTGTCGGGGGCGGCCAAGGGGGTGGCGCCACTGGCACATCAGAGGGTCCAGTGGAGTCGGGGCTTCGGGGCTGGGGAAGGCGGGCAGCTGCAGGCGGGGGAGGTGGAAGTGGGAGGCTAGCCGAGGTCAGCGGAGGGCACAGTGGCGCTTCGAGAAGGCGGGGCCGAAGGCCCGCGCGACTGGGTCAGTCGGGCCGACAAACGAGGGGTCAGCGGGGAGGGGGAAGTAAGGGAGACTCTGGGTTCAGCGAAGGCGGGGCGTCGGGGACGCGGGGACCCGGGCGGTCCAGGAAGAAGCCGGGGTCGGCGGGGGCGGAGTCGGGGCCTGAGAAGGGGGTCGGCGG